GTAGTTACACTTGATTAAAAATTTAATAAATAACTTATTTAAAGTTAAATTTAAATATCAAACAATGAAAGGTTTAAAAAACAACCCTTTATTAAAGGTTTAACTTTAATTTCGCTTTTTGTTAACTGATATTGTCTCTAATTAAACTGTAATTAAAACTTAAGCAGGGCACAGTACGTTGCTCATATGTTTTTTTTTCTAGCACATCTACTGTGACTTATTCAAAATATTACATAGTTTGGGTTCTCTAATGTCTTTTAAGAATGACTTTATGTGAAGGGATCATAAATAATGGTGATTTTAAAAGAAAATAAAAATTGTGCACAAAATAAATGTAAACAAATTACGGAGATCGGTTGTGTATATGAAGAAAGATTATGCCGAATTAAGTTGATGATTAAAAATAAAATTATTATTTCTAAATTCTTATAAGTTTTATGTACATAAGATGATGAAGGTAAAAGGACAAAAGTCCTCCACAGGAGCTAGCCTAAAGTCTGCCCAAAGGCCAGCTTAAATAAATGTAAATTACTTTAAGGTTAAAAAGTAAATATTTTTTTAAAATTGTTTACAGTAATATCAGCAACAAAATTTCATTATTGCATGTTAATGTTAAATGAACCACATATTTACTTCAATGTCTCAAATAATAAATGTAAATTACTCCAAGGGTAAAAGATAAATATTTACTTTTTTTATTTATGGTGATTCCAGCAAGGAAATTTCATTATAACATGTTAGGCTTAAAATCAGTGGCCCCCACTGAGCCAAGATCTGGCTTGTTACAGGTATTGCCTTATTTCTGATCCATTTATATTTTTAAATAGATCATAATTTGTATTACCAAAGAATAAAAGTTGAAATAATATTTTGTACTGTTATTAATCTAGTAATTAGTATATTTATATTGTAATCTAACCTCTCTTAAATAATGTATTAATTAGGAATAGTCACTACTAAATTATCCAGTCATCTGATTCATTACATAATTATTATTATTATTATTATTAAATCATTTCATACCAAGCAAGGCAATAAAAGCCAGTAAGATGAAAGGTTTTACCGAGAGTGAAACGTAGAGGACAATAAAAGAACAAGATTATTCAATACAAATTGTTGGAGCTATTTTTTATATAATCAATGTGCAAAACTTTCTTAAAGAACTTATTCACAAAGAATTTTTTTGTTTTGTTTTTCCCTCCACATCCAGTACAAGGTTTGAGAGCCCCTCAAGCTAGAGGGTTACTGAATGATGTGTTTGATATGAATGTAAGAGATGGTTGTAAGAAGTAAAGATCATGAGGGTAAGGAGAATAGATAATCATTGACTCTTAATCCAGATGGAAGTCTATTCCACAATTTGCAATATCTTTTATGTTGTTAATCATTTGACTGAAATCATTTTATGCAAGCAAACATTCTTGTAATGCATTATTGTTCAAAAGTATTCTTTCCAAACAAGCATTTGAAAGGTTTTTAAAAAATAATAGGAGTGCTTAATATAAAAAGTAACAAAAGATTAAAATTATTTGTCAAAAATTGAGACAATGTCCATGCACACAATTGTATGTAAGAGAATCCATTCTATTATTCTACTTTTTTGTAAGTACATCTGTTATGCTTTGTTTTATTAATACAAATAAAAGCCCATAATTTTTTTGTTTGGTTCTCTTTTTCATCATTAGTAATGCAAAAGCAAACATAAAATTAAATAAATCTTTGATTCAAATGTCTGACTGGGAAACAAGCAGGCAAATGACATATCCATTTAGCCACTGTTTTACTGTTTTAATATAGGATGAAATTAGAAGTATCAAGTATTTTTTTAAATTATTTTTGCAATTATTTGAAGTAATCATTTAAATTACTTATTTCTTTTTTTTTTAAATATTGACATGTTAAATGAATTTAAAAAAAAGAAAGTTTAATAATATAACGTTTTTGAATTTTTATTAAATTTTAACAAGACAGTCTTTGCTTTTAAAGTTTAAAATTTACTGCTGCTTTCATCATTAAAGAAATAGTTAATTTTAGATACAGTCCTCTCTTCTTTTTTATTTGTATGAAGCTTATAAACCTGACAGAGCTTGAGTTTGTTCAAAAATTAAGCATATTTTAAATTTGAAACTAGGCTCAGATTTTTTTTTTATAGTAAAGCTTTATTAAGCATTCATAACAAATTTTAAACTCTATTTAGGGTTTTATACTTTAAGCATGAAATAACCATGAAATTCAGTTCAAATTTGAGAATTTGCTAAGCATGACTAGGCTCAGCTAAAATTACCTAATGCTAAAAGATAAAATAAAAAAAAGCTCTGTGTATTAATTTCATTGGATAAAAAAATACAATGATATTGTTTTTTGTTTAGATGGTGAATGGGATATTTTGATAAAATAGGTTTGTTCCTCCTGTGGTCTGTATTCAGCCATGGCCAAGTGTATATAGCTCCGAGTAAAGCTACGAATTGGACTAAGTTAATTGCATAGATGGAAATTACAAAGGTCAGGGTAAATTCATGGAATCACATATTTTTTTTTAATCTGTTTGTCTCTCTATCTGTCTATATATCTAAATAATTAATTCTATAAGTTTTCTGTTACATTTTGAAAAACAGAACCGGATTTAGCTACTGTTCAACTGACACCACGGAAATGTCTGTCGCCAGAGTGTCTCGGGGATGTTATAACTTAATATCTTCCTTTCTTTTTCATTCTAGTGTAACTTATTTTTATTGCTTTTATTTATTAATTTTATATGTGTAAATTTATATTTAATATATATATAATGGCATTATTCTGACAGTAATGATGCAAGCATAATGATGTTTCCTTATTTGTCAGAAATCATTGAATTTCCATGGGTCCAGCAAGTGGGCAATTGGTACTTGTTGTATTTCCCAGTTCTTATTCTACTTGAATATAAATTTTTTCTTCTCAGCTATTAGATCACAAGAAAAATAACTGGATTAGGAGGAAGAATGAAGTAGCAACAAATGAATTTCCCAACTATTTAAGAAACAATACAGAGTATCAAATAATGCATACAAATTTAAAGAAAGAACTTTCATAATTTTTGTCTGATTCTTCAGTAAATGTGGTCTATTGAATATAAGTATTGGATAAGATGTTGTAATTTCAGATCCTGGGTCTTTTCTTTTCTTTCTATGTGCCGTGTCATTTCAGGATATAGGCAATCATGGCTCTCCACTTCTCTTTCTCCCATGCAGCTCTCCACAAGTTCCTTCCCTCCTCCACCTTCCTCAGACCACGGTCTGTCATCCACTTGCTTAAGCCCTCTAGTTATGTCATGTTGTTTTCCTTTGTCTCTCTCTTTCTCTCTATTTGACCTATAAGTATCAAAATCTCCAGGCCCTCCATCCTCATTATGTGTCCCAGGAACTTCAGCTGCCTTTTCCTGATGTTAAGTATAAGCCTCCTCTTTGTTTGTATCCTCTCTAAGACCTCATCGTTGCACATATGCTTGGTCTATGTTATCCTCAGCATCCTTCTGTAGAACCACATCTCCGTCACTTTGAGTCTCTTCTTCATCTTTGAGGTAATCATCCAAATTTCACTGCCGTAAAGAAGGACAAATGTCACATAACAGCTCAGTATTTTTTTCTTTGCTATGAAAGAAATCCTCCTGTCAGTGTAAAAGAAAAAAAAATTATATATTATGCTTCAGTAGAAGAGGCAGTGACATTCTTCTTCCATGTGCTATGTCCTTTCAGGACATGTGTGATCATGGGTCTCCACAACCTTCTGTCCCTTTTTGCTCTGAGCAATGTTTGTTTTTTTAATTATTTTTTCTAATCCCTATTCTGCCAACCATTTACACAAGCTTATTAAGTAGGTTATTTTCTGCTTTCCTCTGCCTCTCTTGTCTTCAACATGTCCTGTGAGTATAACATTTTGCCCATCCCTCTATCCTCATTATATACCCTAGAAATTTCAACTGTTTCTTTATGATTCTAAGTATGTATTCTTTGTTTCCATTTTCCTTAAAATTTTCTTTACTCACATGTTCAGTCTATGATATTCTCAGTATCCTTCTGTAGAACCACATTTTTATTGTTTCAAGTCTTTTCTTCATCTGTGATGAGATTATATTTTTATTGATTACATTTATATTGTTTCAAGTCTCTTCTTCATCTGAGATTGTCCAGAATTCACTGGAGGACTGATATTGCATAATAGTCCAGTGCTCTTTTCTTTGTTTCTAATAAATTTTCCTATTTCTTAATACATTGCTTAACTTTTGGAAGGTATCTTTCACTATTTCAATGCACCTTTGGATTTTGGGGTCACATTTTCTGTCCTCTATCAAAACACTTTCTAGATGTTTAAATTTTTGTACTGGCTTGATTTTGATGTCTCCATTTTGTAGTTTTGCTGATGATTATAAGGACAAATCAACTAGATAGTTTTAACTGATATGAGATATCCTCTAATATTGACAGTAGAATGAGAACTGTCCACCTCCATGGATTGAATAAAAGGGTTCAGTTCAAAATTCTTGAGTTACTGACTAAAGCAGAGATACCTGAAGAAGGCTGGCCAATACAATAGTTGAATTTTTACTATAATAATCAAGAAGGGAACATTAGTCTACCAGCATATAACACTTTTCAGTTTTATGATTAAGTTTTTATATAGTTTTTATATAGTACACAAATTTTGTGTTTAATGTTAAATTGATTCCTTAGAACTTACTATACAATAATATAATTAGACATGCTATATAAAGGAGTCATGAGATGTTTAGTCCTAATCATATCTGATACATAATATTGAGAGAGAGGTTTGTATTAATAAAATATCCGTATAATTATTCATTTAAATTGTATCTTTAGATATTTATAAAGGGAAAAACCATTTGGAAATTATTAATAGTAGTAATTAATATTTATTTATGCTGTTTAAGATATACATTGGGAGATCAGGTTTTTTAATGGGTTATGGTTAAGCTCTCCTTTCACAATGACATTTGGCTTACAGTCACATCATAACACTAGTTCCCATACAGTCACAGAAATTAAGCATCAGTGAGCCTGGTTAGTACCTAGATGGGTGACCATTGGGAATACCTGGTGCTGTAAGCTTGGCTGTAAGGGTAGTGTAATGATAATGATTCGGAATTGTTAATCGGAGAGCTGAGTTCTAATTTTCATTGGGTTTGTTATATTCATTTAATATTAATTGGTAAGAGTTCTGTCACTAAACCATTATCTCAAAAAAAAAAAAAATTTCTTAAGATCTAAAAAAAATATTTTCAGACTGTAAGAATAATTTTTTTTTTTTTTTTTTGAGATAATTGTTTAATGGCTTTAAATAACCTGCAAAGGGTTAATAAACCATAGAAAATGAATCAACATTTAAAATCAGAATGTTACCGGCCGTGTTTTTTTTTGCTTTGGAAATGCATTATTTTGTTGATTCTCAAGTGTTATTTTGATTTTAATGTATAACAAAGTATGAGATTATTCATAAATTTGAATTGGCTAACCATTATTTAAGTTTGATATTAATCTCTGTAGGCAGAGGTAACATTTGGCAGTTCTTGACATTGTTAGTAGATTCATGAAAATGCTTTATTTTTTAAATTTGTGTTAACCATTTGCCCTTTGACTAAAATTCAAATAGTATTTAACATTTGTCCTTTTAAAATAATAAAGTTCACTGCTTCACTTAGGTAATTTTTTTTTCTTTATATGCCTCTTTTGTTAATGTCTGAGATTAACATTTGCTTTTGTTTTTTTTTTGTTAAGGTATATTTTATTTCAGTTAAAATAAACTAATCACGTTTTTCTTTTAGTAAGGACAGCTTAAGATTTTTATGTTTTGGTTTTAAAATTAGTCTGTACCTTTTTATTATTATGCTTAGCACAGATAATCAGAGTTGATCTTTTTAAAGAAATTCACAAAAAGAATTTCATTGTTGCATAACTTACAAATTTTCTTTTATTATTTAGCTGTTTATTTAGCTTGTGAGATCACTGGTAGAATTTATTAAACAACTGTGTCAAAACATTTTACTCTGATAAATATGATAACACTGCAAATTCTGGTGTTATTTTAAAAAAAAAAAAAAAAAATCTCAGTTCTTCTGGAATTCATCGATATTCTAAGAGCACTCTTTTGAAATTTGGGTCCATGCTGTTATGGTATTCCATAATTCTTCTTGAGTGGTTGGCTGCACATTCAGGATTCAAATCTCACTTTCTGCCAGATTCCAAAATTGTTCTATGGGATTGAAATCTGGTGACCGTGGAGACCACTTTAACACAGAAAACTCACTGCTCTGTTCCATGAACAAATCTGCCATTATTTTTCATTTGTGACGTGGTGCATTGTCCTGCTGTAGTCATAAATTGAGGCAGGTGGTCAGCCATAGTGTCTAGGTAGGCTTTGGAATTTAAACAATCTTTTATTGTTACCAAGGATCCCAATGTATGTCAAGAAAATATTCCCACCCTTATTGAACTGTTGATACAACGCAGGATGGATCTATACTTTCATGTTGTTTATGCCAAATTCTGGCCCTGCTGTCCAAATGTCACAGCAGAAATTGAGGTTCCTCAAACCATACAATTTTCTTCTAATCTTCTGTTGCCCAATTTTTTTGTACTCATTAGCAAATGGTAGCCTCAGTTTGTGGGTCTTCTCTAATAGGAGTGGTATCTAGCATGACCTGCTCCTGTAGCTCATCAGCTTCAAGGTTCGATGTGTTGTGCTTTTAGAGGTACCCTTCTGTATACCACCATTTTAAAGTCATTATTTGAACTACTTTTGTCTTGAACCAGTTTGGCCATTCTCTTCCAAATAATGGATTTCTATCCACAGAGCTGTCAGTCACTGGAACTCTTTTTTCTTTTCCTGATCATTCTCTGTAAATCCTAGAGATAGCTGTACATGATAATCCTAGTAGATCAGCAGTTTTTGAAATTCTCAGGCCTGCCTGTCTGACAATAATAACATGTTGCATTCAAAGTCACTTAAATCACCTTTCTTTCCCATATTAATGCATAAAATGAAATTCAGCAGGTTGCAATGATTATATTTATATATATTTATATCAATTGACTGACTAGTTAGAACATTTGTTTTCTTACTATGAGACCTGAGTTTTAATCTTATCATGGTTGATTTGTCAGAAAGATGACTTCCTGATGTTATTGGACTGGAATTAGGTTGATCTCAGCATGAGGCACCTTTGGAAAGTGCCTGGAAACCACAGGTTGACCCAAGCCCTGTGAGTGAAATTGGGTAGATGGAACTCTTGTGGGCCATCGATAGCTGTGCTAGCATGAAGCCACAAGTCATCTTAGCCAAGGGCTTCTGCATGCTGGCCTTGTTCAAATTGTTGATCATGCTAGATAACATGCTCTCTCCCAGAAACTGTAACTAAGGTCTGCTCAGCATAGTTGCAGTATAAAACACAGGTGGGCTCTGTGGGTGTTGGGCAAGCACAGTGAGTGCCTGAGTGAGCGTCTGCAATAGGGATTGGCTAGCCACCCTAGTAGATGGGAATACGAATACGAATGGCCAGCTATTATTATATTCATTAAGCTGAAGCCACATCATTGGTTGTAGAACTAACTATAATTTAGTTATAGGTTAAAAGCAATCTGATTCCTTTCATTTTTTCATTTTATGTGGAGTTTTGTTTTTCTGTGAGAAGTTAAGTGGAAAATACAATTGTTTTTATCTCTGTTGATAGTGCCTCCAATAAGCAGTAGTCTTTGTTTTTCATATTTTGTTTCATTTTCTCTGTTTCACACTTAGCAAGAACAAAAAAGTAGTTTTGTAGGTAGAGGGGAATAGAAATTGCTAAAAACCTTTGTGTGATCTTCATAAAGCCTATATTTGAATACAAGTTGAGCAATCTATATTTCAAAAGATTTAAAAGATTAGTTTACTTCCTTCCTGTGATAGATTTAGAGACAAGAATTCCTGTTCCAGTCCCTACCACCCAAATAGCTCAATTTACAACACCTCCACTCATGTTTGTACAGGTTTAAGTACATGGCCTTTGATTACCTTAATAAATTCCAGGTCCTGTTCTTTATGGCTACTGGTAGATAAATAAAAAAAAAAAATAAAATAAAATTTCTTCATGCATTCTGATCTAGTCTTTTCAATATCTTTGATCTGAAGTACATCTCAAATAAACAAAAAAATGTATTGTTTTTGTTAGAGTAAAAGTGGAATTTTATCTGTTTTCAGACAAAGTGTTCTACTTATAATGCAATGTAATATCAATCTTTCTATATAGCAGTGAATGCTGGTCAATTTCCTTACAGATAAATAGGAGTGTTTAGACAACAAAGATGTGGTTCTACAGAAGGATGCTGAAAATACAATGGACAGAATATGAGGAAATTTTAAGGGAAACAAAAAGGATGCTTGTACTTAGAATCAGGAAGAGATAGTTGAAATTTTTGGGACATCTTATAAGAAAAGAGAGCTTGGAGAATTTGACATTCACAAGGACATAATGAAAGCAACGAATAACCTACATAATGAACTTGTAAGTGGATTACAAAACTGACTGGGACAGATAGTCAGGGTATAAATATAGAGCTACAAAGGACAGGAAATTGTGATGACCCATAATCACCCATATCCCATTGTTTTATTTAGAATAATTACTAATTTTGTTATTTTTTGGTTTTCATGTTACAAAGTATACTCTTTGTTATATAGAGTGTGATGGGTAAATTATCATTATTTTATATTTTTAATTTCGGGCATACATGTTGTTTGGTTTTTGATTTTGTCAGCTGCACAGTATAATAGGGTCAGTTGAGCACTGTCTGTGAGCAAAAGAGCAACATGACACAATTCACTCCACCAGAAAATGTCACACTTTAATGTACAATTGGTTACTTCAAAAGAAAACATTTTAAAAAAGTCAATAATTGAAAAAATAGCTAAACAAATTTCATCCAATGTTCGTTTTTGTTTTTTCTCTGCTGAAGTTCGGATTATTTTTCAAACTCGGCCTATGTTTTGATCTGCATGTAAAGACGTTCTCCCTCCTCATCAAATTAATTCAATTATTTACAAATATGTTTGTAGTTGCGGAGCCGACTACATAGGGAGAACAACTCAACGCTTAGACATGAGAATAAAACAACACGTTCCTACTAAAATTAGAAATCACACCTTGCCTTTGAATGGACTCGTCCCGAACACCTATAGTTCCGCCATATGCGAACACCTATTAAAGAACAGAGATTGTGCAGCCAAATTTAGTATTGACTGGTTCACCGTGTTGTCCCGATCTCACTCTTTATTTCATCTAAAGGTTCTGGAGGCACTTTACATCGGGTCCCGCAAGCCTTCTTTGTGCAAACAACGTGAGTGATTGTTGGGACTCGCTGTCATTTGTCTCTAGTTCCTTTTGCATATTTTTTTTTTTTTTTTTTTTTTACAATTCCTTTTATTGTACATTTTCCTGTGTCAATTTTAAATCTCCCATTGAAGCCTGAAGAGCAGGTTGCTTCACCTGTTTTTTTTTTTAATATGTCTCGTAATATTAAGTTTTATACTTTTATTTCGATATATATATATATATATATACACAGATGTATAAAGACAAAAGGAAAAACTATTCTAAATCTACACATTTTGTCATCTGAGGGATTTTATCTAGGCAAATGTGAGAATTTATTTGTGGCATCAGTTTATATACAAGAGCAAGGATGTCACTGGTTTATCAAGGCTTTTAAATTTGAGAACGTTCATGAATACTCATCAGGTGGTTGAAAGGTCAGTCAAAACATGTGGAGAGCACAAAATGCAATCCAAAATCTATTAAGACAAAAGTAGTATACATGAAAAAAAATTTTCTGATATATGAATATCATATAAATCGTAATCAGATTATTATGGTTTGGGATGGATACATGTGCTGTATATCTTCAAAAACATGAGGTAATGGATTTAACATTTTTTTTAATTTTATTTTTATTTTATTTACATTTTTGTGGTTGTGTATGCTGGCATGGGAAAGGTGAGATTAGAAAGAAACTGAGGTGTACATACATAATTTGATAAGATTTGATGGCAGCACTCTCAAATTTTCCTTCTAAATA